CGCCCTTTCCCTCCGGGGCTCCGCAGGTGCCCCCCATCCCCTTCTCCCTTCCCCAAACGGGCCCGGAGGGGCCTGGAGCCTCCCCGAGCCGTAGCGGGTTTCTCAGCCCGGGGGTTGCTGCTCACGGGCTGCCTGTCGAGGGGCGTGATTCGGGAGAAGAGGTTGGGGCCGTTACGGGCCCTTTGGGCGTTTAGCGGAGGTACGTGCAGAGATGATGTGCCTTCAGCGTTGGGTGGTGGCTGAAATATTTGCAGGTCTGCAGACACTAAATTTCACTCATTTAAGCAGAATGTTTTGTGGGCCAAAAATTTAATTCCCAGTTATTTTGCGTAGGAGCAACGTTTCCTGTACATCTCTCATGTAGGCTTTTCACGTTGGGCGTTAAAGTGCTGCCCTTTTTGTATTTTTCTTTGCTTTGTTTAGAGTCACAGAGTGGCCCAGGTGGGAAGGGACCTCATCTGGGCCAGCATTTCGTGGGAAAGGCAGCCTAGAGGAGGTTATCTAGCACGCTGTCCAATCGCATCTTGAAACCTCCAGCGATGGGGACCCTGCCACATTCCTGGGGAGGTTGTTCCACTGAATGACTGTTTTTACTGTAAAAAAAAAAAAAATTATTTCAATGTCTCTCTTCATTTTTACAGAGATCGAAAATTATATAAACTGGGATTAAAAGGATTTTATGTCAAAGATGACAATGACAGTACAGGTAAGGTAATAAAATGTACTGTGCAATATGGTGTGCAGTTAAAGTGAGTTATGTGTAGTTATTTGAGGTACAGTAGGACTGTAAAACTGCAAACCCATAGCTTTGTTCTTCTTTCTGGCTTGTTTTTCAGTACTTTTTTTACGGGAATGTGTGTGAATAATAACTTAACACTTGCATAACTTTCAAGGTAATATAATCTTGATGTGGAAGTTTGTGTCAAACCAGGTGCAATGCACAGACTTAGCAGCTCACATAATCTCCACCTGGTACACAGAGCAGATTAGCTCACAAGTGCCTGACCTGCTCTCAAATCATAATTTCAACTTCCCTAGCCAAAAATTAATTATATAATGGAGGGTCTGCAAATCCTAGATGTTTGCCTGGGAGTAATACTGTCCTGCCTCTACCCCAGCCTGGAACATTAGCTGTGGCTGGTTAATGTGCTGGGCCAGAAGCAGAGAAGCAGCAATAGCCCTGATGGGGGAAATTACGGTTAGCATGTACATGAAGAATCATATGAGGAGGACCAGAGGAGTAAGTCTCGCTCCCTGCTTATTTTAGGAGTAATCATGGTGCATGCTTTGGCAAATTCAACACCAGTCCTGCGCTCCGTCCTCCCGAATTCGCCACACATGCCTATCTGAACATAATTCCTTTGGCATCCGATTTTTCCATTGCTGTCTTGCTAGCTCTGGCATCATATAATAGCTTGATTTGGAAGGAAGGAGCCTGAACAGAAAGGAACGTCCATAGAAGCTGAGAATGAGTAGCGCTGGTTGGATGGAGGCAGTGTGAATGGAGCGAAGAAGGAGAATGTAAATCATGGTTTTGTGCATATATGACTGAATTGTGGTGAGAGTAATCAGTTAAAACCAGAAAAGTCTTGTGCTGTGTCATAATTTGGCAGTAAATATATCCTGACCAAAAAAAAGTCTTAAATTTTTCAGTTTTATCAACTGTGCCAAGAGCTGTTGTATTTCATAAATTTCATCAATATACAGTTCCTACTTTCTTAGTGGTATATGTCATTTTATATACATATGATGTTGCTTAAAAATTTGATAGATGTACAAGCAGTGTTTTGATAGTTGATCAGTTATTTCTGAGATAATTATGTCTGTAGTTCACACATTACAGTTTTTTTAAAAATCGTGTTATCTTTGTTAGTTTGTTTTTGAAAGATTTGTAACAAAACCAGCAGTTTCTTGTATTTTAAGCTTGTTCTGGTACATGCCAAAAGAACTCCTTTAAATAATTTTCTTAATGCTAATTTTTCTGTTGTTTGCAGGGTGGTGTTGTAGTTTGCAAGTTATTGAGGTGAATGTTTATGGTGGGTTGACCCCAAGCACCCACACCCTTGGGCCAAGTTTTTATTGCTGAGCATCACGTTATGTGATATGGACCAGTTTGGGTCAGCAGTCCCCAGCTGTGTTCCCACCCCAGCCTACTCACTGGGGAGGGCAGAGTGGGGAAAAGAGAAAGTTATAATGCTGTGCAAGCACTGCTCGGGAATAGCCAAAACATCGGTGTGTTGTCTGTGTTGTTTTAGTCAGAGATCCAAAACACAGGCTGATATGAGGAAAGTTAACTCCGTCCCAGGCAGACCCAGTGCAGTGTTTTGGCTATCAAAGTTAAATTTTGGTTTCTACTGATAGTTATGTGGGAAATAAGATGCTGATGACAAAAATTTTACATGGGAAAGGAAGCTCGAGAGGCAGTTCTGCTAATTTTTTGTAGGCCATGCTATTGCATTGAGGTATCAGAACCAGATTATATTCACTTAATATAATTTGTTAATAGGGGAAGAACAAGCATCCGAGGAGGAGAACCGTTGTCCCAGTGTGACATTAAAGGCAGATACTAATCATGCTCTCGACCTGGAAGAAGTTGAGCTAGACTCGGAGGCTGAGCTTATGAAGAGTATGGGATTGCCTCTTCAGTTTGGTGGGCAGTCAGCCCGCAGGGACTGTGTGGTAAATCTTTATTTGCTTTATTTGTTCTATTTACTTTGTGTTTCCAGACATAGGGGCATGTCTGCTCCTCAGTTATTTTTGTGACTGCTGTTCATGGAAATTTATCTGAGCTGGCTTTAAGCTGCCTGCCTCGCATACTTGTAACTACATGCAGGATCATGGTCTGTGCAGTTTGTAAAACCCACCTGCCAGTTTGACTAAACAGGGTCAGGCTGTGCTTTACGCTTCATATCTATATTCTTCTTGCTACTAGAGAGAGCTAGTTTAAAACAGCCCTGGTAACGTTGATGCTCTGCGTCAGGACATCTAGTTTGAGCTTGTACATTCACACTGTCAGCTTTAACCATTTAGCTACTAATATAAAAAGCTTGTTTCTCAAATCTCCCTTGCAGCTGATAAAGCCAGGCTGTTTCAAAGGGCAGGAGTGAGACTTGGGGGCTCTACTTCCCATAGGGAGCATTTGGGCTTTAGGGGAAGGCTAAAGTTCTAGATGAGAAAAAGACAGTGGGATATCTATGTTGTCCAGTATGGAATACAGACCTTCCTAGCAGTGAGAGTACTTTTGTGCAGAGCACTCCATGGTTCTGAGCTGATTAATTTGTAAATAAGTAGGAGAAATTAGTACATGATTTTAATTGGTGGCATGTAAATGGGCCTTACAGGCATCCAACTTCATGCCCAAAGTATACGTGCAATTTTTGTTGCTATGTGGTAATACTGCAAATTGAATGAGAAAAAAAAAAAAGTTGAATGAGAAAATAACGTACATTTTCACTAGATTACTACTAAGCATTGTGCTTTGCACTGTGTGTATTAACAAGATGTTATGAGGGATGTGGATGAAATATTAATGCCAGTTCTTTGAATCTAACTTTTTTATAGTCCGCCTTATGCATTTGTCAATACAACAAAATTAGGGGTTGCAGCTGATGGGATGTTTGCAGTAATATCTGTATGTTGCAGAAAGGATTTAACATTCTGTTAGGCTGAGCATTACATGTTCACTAGCCTAACAAGACAGGTGGCCAGGCAGACAGATACCTGGTGACAGTAAGGGTCAGCCCCCACGGCCCCCCAAAACAGGTCCTTGATGTTAGTAACAAGACAGGTGGCCAGGCAGACAGATACCAGGTGACAGTAAGGGTCAGCCCCCACGGCCTCCCAAAACAGGTCCTTGATGTTACTGAGGTACTGTTTTACTGTTGAGCTCAACCCAGTGACCCCTCAGTTCCTGAGCAACCTCCTTTTAGGATTTTGTGGTGTTTCATGTTGATGTCTTTCCCTCTGAATCTCTGAGCTACTAAAGACTCTCAGCAGCCCCACGTCTCTCTGTAATTCTGCCTTTTCTTGTGTGTGTCTTTCTATAGACTTTCTCATAGCTCTTTCTCACAACTTCCTCAGAAATGTCAGCCGAGGTTGTGCAGCGGGGCCCTATCAGACCCATAAACCCTACAACCTTTTGTGGGGAGACGGCTAACAGCAGAGATGCAGTGAGAGAGGGGGTTACAGTGGTAATGGAAACGTGCTTGGAGAGAGGACAAGAAAAGGCTATATACGTTGTGGACTTCTAAGTATGTTTTTTCATTATATTTTAGGCAACAGAAAATAATAGAAAGAGAAGTAACATGAAGATCATGAAGAAGAAGAAGAAGAAGAAAAAAGAGTTACAGCAAAAGCATGAGGATAAAATGGGGCAGGAACGCCAGGATCAAGTTTGTGGTGGTCATACCCAGTCTGGTTCTGGTGAAGTGGCCCTACCTACAGAGCAATGTGAGAAGAGCAGCGAACCTCAGGGTGTAAGTGAAGGGAACTGTGAAAGTTCACAAAGTCTTGCAAATGAGGCTTTACCCAGTGAACTTAAAGAAAAATGGGAGAAGTACTGGAGTGAGTATGGAGAGGGCCTTCTTTGGCAAAGTTGGTTGGAGAAGCATCGAGAGGTCTCATCATCTGAGGCCATCACAGCCTCTGAGCCTTGGAATAGTCCAGACACCAAGGAAGAGTGGGAGCAGCATTATAGCGAACTGTACTGGTATTACTGGGAACAGTTTCAGTACTGGACAAGTCAAGGATGGACTACTGAGAGCTCACGCAGTGACAACTTGGAAACTAATGGGGTTACCCAGGAGATGGGCGTTTTGGGAAAAATGGACTTGGTTAGCTCAGGGGCTGAACTCAGTGAAGTGCTGAGCTTGGAGCTGAGTCCCTCTAACACCAGAAGTGAGGAAACACTTCCTTCAAGTGCTGAGCCCCACAGTGAAATAATCTCTGGGATTTGTAATTTAAATCTGAATTTGGAGGAAGTGGAGCAGAGCTGTGCAGCTCTAGCAGTAGCCCACCAAGGTCCTCAAGAGCGTAGTTCATCTGACAGTGAAAGCCAGAAGGAGCCCTGTGATGGAGGAACCAGGAAAAGGAGTGCATCTTATGAAAATAAAAGTATTAACCAGTCAGGTAATACGAAATCAGCTAAAATTGATTCTACCAGAATTTCTGTAGGTGATTATATATAAGAAACAAGGGTATGTTTGTCTTATGCCTTTTTTAAAAAGTCAGTCAAGTATTTTGTGGAATGATTGTGTACTTGATTCCTTTTTCTTCCCCCTGCTTCTCTCTCCTCTCTAACCTATATATTGAATGCGTTCTTCAGCAAGAAGTGATTTTAACAGAACATGCACTTCATGAATCTTCAAATGTGCTACAGAAAGTGGTGAGAGAGCACTGTTAGTGTGATTTATTTATTTATCTTAGTATTGGTATTGTAGCTGTGATGTGTCTTTTTCTCATTCTAAAGTGAATGAAAACTCAGGTTGATGTTCTCATGAATCTGACAAATTTTAAGAACAGCTTTTTTGAGGAAAAAAATATAGTTCTGCAGTTCTGAGGTTTGGGGTTTGCCTTCTGTCTAAAAATGCCATACTTTAAAATGATGAAAGCCAGTGGCTGTGCCTTATGGTACTGGAGGAGCTGCTGTGTGGGAGGTACAGGACTGGGCTGGAGATGTTTTTGCCAGCCAGTTCAGCGTGCAGAGAAAGGAGAGAGCCATCTCGTTTGCCTGCCTGTTCTTCCTGCCAGCGTTCACTGTAAGCAGCAGTGCAGCGTCTTTCCTTTGCTGAAGGGGAGGGATGAAGCACGGGAAGTAAGTGTCAGCAGGTCAGGACTTCGGTTTGGTGGGAAACCTCTGAGTCCGCTGCTAGTGACTTTCTAAGGAAGGAGGAAGCAGGTGTGTTCCCATCTTGATTCTACAGTAGAGTTGGAATGGGAGAGGTGAAAGGAAAATCTCCTTTCCAACAAAAAATAAGAGTAGTGTTGGAATCCCCTGTTATTATATGTATGCGAGTATCTTTACCTAGCTAATGAAATGGAAACAAAATTTACACACAAGAAAAAGAATGGTTTGAATTTGTACCTTGTAGACATTTTATTTTTTCTTGGACAGCTGGGATAATTTGAAGTTGGTCCTGCTTAAGATTATTAACTCTACACTGTAACTAATTCTGGAACCTTGTAATGGTATGTTTTCCCTCAAAGACAGGTAAATATATGCGGGTTTGGCACTTGTGCCTTGTTTGTCAAATTCAGGTATGTACAACAACCTAACTGTATCTGCAGACATACTTTGGGCACAGGAAGATAATGAATTAATTTATGTAGAAGGAAAATATAATCTCATCTATCTTTTTTTAGGTTCACAGGGGTCATGTAGCTCGAATTCAAATGACAAAGAACAGTTGATGCTTCGTGACAGAGATGAAGATGAGGATGAAGAGCCTCCTGAATACAGACGTGCCAAAGTCAAGAGAAGGCAAGTATGAAATTTAGATGAGCTTTCTCCTCAAGATGCCCAGGTCCAGAAGCCTCCTGATTTATAGTAACTATTTGATTGAGATTGAGTTCAAACTTCAGTACAAAACCACGTAGTCATCTATCACTGCTTATCACTTTATCTGGCAACAAGTGGTGGCTATTTCTTCTCTTCCGTTGCTTTAGGAAAACAATGTATGACCTTGATGACTGTGCAAGGTGACGGTACTATTCTTGTGCCACTGAAGTATACAAGATTGTTAAATTGGATAGGACAACTTGCTTCTCTAGGTCTAATTAGTGTAGCCAATACAAGAACGATAGTAAATAATTTGTGGTGTTTAACTGAATTGTATGCTGCCGGTAAAGTGCTCAGTGCTATGGCAATCATAAAATAGTTAATCTCTGCCTTGTCAGTCTTTTTCTTTCCTCTCTAAAAATTTATAGCTTCAAAGATGATAAGATGGCTCTTCCTCTCTAATAAATTTACAAACTCAAAGGTGAAGGTATAGGTGGACTTACTATCTGCTAATCATATAGTTTTGGTTTTGCTCTAATATTTTGCTGTTGCCATAGCATTAATAATAGATATTAATATGGATAACATAATAGATTATGAAGGTAATTTGGAATTAGGGTGAACAAACTGTCTTCATCAGGTCCATGTAGGGCTTGATACTAGATATTTTAAGAGTTCATTTGGAATAGTTGGAATATTATCACCTAAATAGAAGGACATACGTCCCTAGAATTGGGTAAGAAAAAAAAGGTATGTGCTCATGCATATGAATAGGGCTGGCGTTATCTGCCTTGCTTGGTTTCAGCGATGTGTGGAAGAACTTCCTGAAGCCCACATTTAAATGTTTTCAATACGTGAGTTTCTTAGTGGTGTATCTGTAAAATAAGAGTGGTTTTTACAGGAAGTGACTTTGTCATCTGTTTTTTTTTTTTTTCCCTAGCCATGAACTGGATGTGGATGAGAACCCAGTGGAAGATCCTGAGGAAACCTGCTCTGTTTTGGGTCTCAAGTGTGGCACAGGACAAAAGTAATTGTTTATGAGGAGCTCGTGTTTTCTTCATAGCAAGTCAGCTTTCCTGTTATTATTTGAATAAACCCTTCACCTCCATTCCCATTTTGTTAAACTTTTGAAAATGATTGCCAAAGTTAGTCTCTGCTCTTAATAGAACTGTCATCCTTTGGCTAGAGAGAGGGATGCAAAGTTACAGAGACTAATTAAAGAACAGGAAAAGTGCTTTGAAACAGAAGTGAAACTCCTAAGGCACTTGCAGTTGTGTAAATGTTAAATGGCTGCTCAGCTGCTTAAATTAGAGCTTAAAGGCTCTGACAATGAATGGTCCTCTCAGTCTGGAGTCCTGTGAGCTTAGATCATAATTTATAGCTGTTTCATATTGGAATGAGGTTGCTTTTTATTAGTAAAATGTTGCTATACTAATAAAGTGTTGCCAGGTTGACCAGTGACATTTCATTTTTGGTGGTATGACCTAAAGATCAGGTCGTCAGTGCTGTAGAAGTAACATCATAGGGCACAGGTGGACTGTAGCTAAGGTCTAGCACTTCTGCAAGATGTAAGTTGTTTAGTGTGTACGTGTGTATATATGTATGTTCCAAAGAGGAGTGTTACTTAAGTGAATTGCCTATATTTTTCTATTTTTATTTTTTAATTGCATTTGTCAGGAGACAAAAGTAGCTGTTTTGGAGGTTCTTTACAGCCACCAAAAAGATCTTTTATTCTACTAATCAAGATATCTTTTTCATTTTCTATTCTTCAGGCTGTTCTGGGAAATTGTTATAACCTAAAGTTATACACCTATTAGGAAAAAAAAAATCTAAAACCAATTCGGGTAAATATTTTCAAATAAAAATATTTCAATTTTCATGAAGCTATGTTGTTTTGCACCTACATCCAGTGACATGTTTTAAGAGTGGAGCAAATGTCTCATAAAGAAATAATCTAGTCTAAATTATTTTCTGTAGACATCAACATAAATGTTAAAGCTTCCAGACTGAAAATTAATCAAGTCCTGTTTTTTAATTTCAGGTATGGTGGAATATCAGATTTCACCCACCGGAGTGTGCAGTACTTGGAGAAAAAAGCAAAACTCAAGTCCAAATTCTTGGATATGCGTAAACCAAGGAAGAGCAAAAACACACACATCTTCTTTACAGAGGAATCTGAAATATCTTGCAAAAAAAATAAAACCTTGAAGAAGGTAGGTTTAATTGTTAGTGTTGCTGTAAATCATATTTATTGCCTCCCTTAACTGTTGTTCAATTATGGAAATGAAGAAAAAATTATTGCCCAGAGAAGGTGGCATTTTTTAAGTGTCAGTCCATGGCTCTTTTTTGGTTTTTTCTTTCTTTTTTTTTCTTTCTCTTTTTTGTCCTTCTCCGTGCTTAGGTGAAGAGTTGAAAAGTAGTTAGGTTAGGATGGATATGGAAAGGCATTGGTCGACTCTTGGCAATCTGTCAAGAGGAATGTGAGCTTAATGGTGAAGTTGTGTGAAAGTCATTCTTAACATCTGGGTGCATCATACCTTTAGAGCTGTGTGTAGGTTTCTATAGTTACTAAAAGTATCTCTTGATTTTAAAATGCACGTGAGGGCATTTGTTAGTGCTGGCATTTCAGCAATAAGAGAAAAACGTTTGTGTACGTTGGTGTATTTCTTGTAACTCCATGTTCTTAGTGCTTTGTATTAACATTTTTGCTTACACCTCTACCTGCATTTATTTTATAACTTTCTGCATAATTTTTTTTTAAGCTCAGAAATTAGTAATAAGTAAAAAAATTTGTTCACTGTAGATTTTTCTTAGTTGAGTCTCTTTAAAATCTGTTAACCTCAGATTTTCAGTGCTGCTTTGCCACCTTCTGGGTGCTCGGTGCTAACACCCAAGTGCAAACCACCGATTGCTGGTGGTGACAGCACATATTGTATTTATCTCAAGTCCCGTTGCTGTCATTTTTGATCAAAGGCTTGACCATTGCCGTCTTGTACCAGAGGCCAGTATAGTTCAAGGGCAACTTTTTAATTATGTGAACGTAAAAGTGAGCATCTGCCTATGCCTTTGAAGAGTTTGGACTAGCGTCTGCATGTTGGTTAGGATGTGATGTTGGGCACGCTACTGTGCAGCAGAACCCTTTAGCACATGTGCCATCTGGTACATCTTGGACATGAGGCAACTAATGTATGGAGGTAATTTTACCTGTTTATGCTAACCTGAAGGGCAGAGTACAGCTTCTCTGAATGCAGATCAGAGAAAAGAGTTACTTAAATTAATTAAAAAGTAGGAGTCTTGATCACCTGTGCTGTGGCAAGTCTGACTATGTTTCACATGTTATCGGTCAGTTTTGTGGAGTTTCTCTTTTGCAAGTAGCTGGTATCTAGCTCCCAAAGGCAATTTGTTTCCAAATGTTGTAAAAAGGGAGCGCAGTTAAGGCTTTTAAACCGTGCTCTTGGTAGCTGGTTAACAGCACCATTAATTGCCTGTGATATTTGACAATTGCAGGTGGAAGAGTTCCTAAAGCAGGTTAATCAACCTGGGGAGGAAGCCACATCCCAGACAGCATCTCCTCAGGGCAGAGTGGAGGCGTTGTCCTCGGGCAGCGACTCGGAGCATCAGGAAAGCGTTTCTACCGCGCAGACTGCGACACTGAACGCCGAAAACCAGAAGCCACCATCTTCCAGTGAGACCCTCGCAGAACCCAGAGGGAGCAACCTTGAGGAGGAAGCGCCAGACGCGGCAGCGAGCGGCTCTGATGGCCAGGGCACGGGGAGGCAGGAGCAGGGCTGCGGGCGGCAGCTGGTGTCTCTGGATATTCCCGATTATCTCCGGGCAGAGACAGAGGACGTCAGCCAAGGTACATCAGTTTCCTGTGAACTGAAAATGAATTGGCAGTGGATTTAATACCACCTTCCCAAGTTACAGCGTGGTGTGGTATTTATTCTGTTTGTTCAAAGAGACTCATTAGGTCCAAGGGGTAATGATGCCAATAGAGAGCTGTGCCAGTGGAAGTAGCTTATTCCTGGAGCACCAGAATCCAAGGTCTTGTCTTAAATATTGTCAGTAATTCTTAATAGATAAACAGTCATTGTTGGTCCTAGACGTGATCTAACAGGTTTCCAGTTCACACCCTTTTTTCCCTGTAAGGATGAGGGTAATTAACTTCAGGTAGATCCAAAACCTGACAGTCTGTGTGTTCTCAGATGCACATTGCTGAGCTTTGGGGAGCATCTGTTGTTAAAATTATTTTCTAGGAGGAAAAAAAATACCGATATTATGAACTTTACTATTTAACTCTGTAAACAAGGGAAAACAGGATTGTTCAGGTTTCTACATATAGTTTAATCCTTCCTACAGTAATTCAATTATAATAGATTTGTACTGTAAAACTCTTGTCTAGATTGGTTCTTATTCGTTACATGAATAAGGGCATGAAGTTGGTCTCTGATCCACTTGTTTGCTCACTATGTAGAGTTTACTGCCATCAGTTGAAGATGATGGCTAACCTCTTAAGGCTCTTAAATAATGGGTGACGTGGTGGTATTATTTTTAGGACTGTGACTGATACCTGTCAGGTAACACTATACCCTTGAAATATAGGATGCTCTCTTTTAACTTAAATCACTAATCTGCATAATCTGGCAAACAGTAGTAAAGGGCATTTAGCGGTGTTGTTCAGCATGAGCATCTTGTATCTTAACTCTCATTTACCTACAGATTACATTCCTAGCCTACAAGAACAGTAATTATTAACTTTTGCAGTGTCTTCCAGCTGTAGATGAAAAAATAACCGCAAAGAAGAAGGAGAAAAAAAGGAGAAGGAGGAAGAAAATTGCGCTGGGAGCTATACCTGCTGAGATTGCTGCTGATCCGGAGCTGGCCAAGTACTGGGCACAACGCTACCGGCTGTTCTCTCGGTTTGATGAGGGAATTAAACTAGACAGAGGTGCGTTTAGTACAAAGTGCGCTGGCTTGGTGGTATAAGATGTATCCAAACCTGGGGCCCTTCTTGCAGTTTATTACTTTCAGTTTTATTTAGTACAGAATGTAATCGTGATGTATAAAGTTTTTCGTAGCAGTCTCAGTGGACTTGTCCTTGATAAGCCAACATCTTCAGCACCAAGTTCAACAAAGCATTTACTGAGATTCACACATACGTTTGCTTCAGTAAGACTTTGTTTGCTAAGCAAATCACTGGACTGACCAGAGTTTATCATCTTCAAAGCCTGTACATCCTGGTTGAATGCGCCAAGCCAAAATTGTTGGGATTAACGCTAAACCTTCAGTTGTGCGTGGGGGTTGTTTGTTTGTTTTTAATTTAAATGACCTTGAAATAAGAGGTGAAAAAACACTCCTTTCCTTTCCTTTGCAGAGGGTTGGTTTTCTGTTACTCCTGAGAAAATAGCTGAGCATATTGCTGTCCGTGTTAGTCAGTCGTTCAATTGCGGTATCATAGTGGATGCGTTCTGTGGGGTTGGAGGAAACGCTATTCAATTTGCATTGACTTCAAAAAGAGGTAAGCAGGTGTTGTATATAGCGCATCATTTTGTTTCTTCAATCTTTTTCCCTAAACCTTTGGGTATGCATTTTGCTGATTTTTTTTTTTTTTCCAGTGCTTCTGAAGCAACAGAAGCTTTTTTGTTTCATCAGATTCGCAATATGAGGTTTCTGTTTTTAAAAAGGAGCTATGAAACTGCTTTTCTATTTTAAGTCAGGGTTGGATTTGTGTTATACTAGTCAAAGTTATTTTTTTCGTGGCATAGTAACTAGTCTGTTGGATGCTCTGAAGATTGCTAGTAAAGGTTAAGTTCTGTTTGCAGTGCTGACCTGCAGAGACTCCACAGAGCTGCTGCTTTTCCCAATTATGCTGAGTCTGTCTGTGTACTCAAATGCAGGTTATGTGTGAGTAGTACTTAAAACACTTGTATGGGATGACCTGCAGGTGCAGCAGAACCAAATACAGAAAAGTGATGATAACTTAGTATTAGTCTAAATTCCTCTTGTCAGCTAATGAAATTGCAGTGAAACATTGAGAGTGCTTTCTGTGAAAAACATCGACTACTTGATATTCCCTTACTCATCAAACACTCTGGTAAAATACCAGCTCGCCTAACACTTCTGAGTAATTTCTGAGCAAGACAAATGGTAGTTTCTACTGCATGAAACTTGGTAGACTATGATCCATTCTATAAATATTTTTTAAACTTCACTTAGCTTTTTGTATTTCCTGGCTAAATTTTTATTTCTATGATTACATGCTACCCTTTATCACCTCTCTTGTGCTGTGTTGGGTGCTTCTATCTGTGGCTGGTCACATTGAGTTTAAAAAAATGTTTATCTTTAATAAAGGAGAAAAGTAAGGTTCAGATTGACACCATTTAAGCTGTCAGGCTCCTGCCAAAATTGAAACGAGGAGGACTTCCTCTCTGTCCTTACCTGTCCTCTACTTGAGCTGAGATGGAGGATTGTCATGGTAATAGATGTATGACTGCCAAAAGCTAAAGCTTCCCAGCTTTGCAACAGCAGCTGAGCCTTCCCAGTCTAGGCTGCGTGGCTTCCCTTGCTGGCTTGTAAACGCAGTGGTTTTGCTCTTGGTGGAACCTCTGCTCCTGCCACGCAAGGGCAAGTCCTTCCCTTCTGCGGAACTGTAGCTTCATGTCTGCCATGACGTACAAAACTGAAGTAGTCACTCATCGCACAACAGTAGATTATAGATGTGACTTGTGGCTGCAGAAGAACATGTTCCTTCTGAAACGTCCTTTCGGTGGTCAGATGGGATTTGCAGTTGACGTTAACCTGTGCATTTGCTCTCTCTTTCGTTTGCAGTGATCGCTATTGATATCGATCCTGAGAAGCTCAGTCTTGCACGCAACAATGCTGAGGTGTATGGCGTGGCAGATCAGATAGAATTCGTGTGCGGAGACTTCATGGTGCTGGCTGCCGACCTGCAAGCAGATGTGGTGTTCCTCAGCCCTCCCTGGGGGGGGCCTGACTATGCCACTGCCGAAATCTTCGATATCCAAACCATGATTTGCCCAGATGGATATCCTTTCAAAGTTACACCTTCCTGTGATTTTTTTCAGTCATTTATGAGTGAGTTTCTCTCTTTCTTCACCTCCTTCTCTTGACATGGGCTTTGCATGCCCATTTGGCTGACTGGGGATGGTATGACCAGCACCTGAAGTCTCAGGTGTGCTGCATTTCTTTAGTCCTCCTCCCCCAACCTCAGCTATATCACTCTGACCACCTAAAATTAAATATTTTAATTATTTTTTTATTTTTAACAAAAGTCATAAAGAGTTATTCTTAAAACTAAAAAATCCTTTAGAGAATTTTAATAGCTTCTTAACTTAAAGCATTAATTCAGTAGTTCTAGCTCCTTTGTATTATTTTATTAAAATACCCTGAAGTAATCAAATAGCCATGTGGTGTGTATATACATAGGTAATAATTACTTACGTAACCTATGACTTTGTCATTGATTCCACTTTTTAATTGATTTATAAAAGGTATATCAAACAATTCTCAATCATAACACCTGCCTATGACTTGGGAAATCACAGAAGAGTGCGAGCAAAATATTAACCCTTTTAACTAATGTATATAATTCCATACTAACTTATTGACAGTGGTATTGAGCACTCAGGCATCTAGGAAGGTATTAGTGTAATTGTTTCAGGGGGAAAAACCCCACCACACCTCTTATTCGATGACACTATCTCAGTTGTTTCCTTTTTGGCTAAAATGTAGCCATATTTGTAAGAGTAAGGAAATCTTTGTATGCATGTGCGAGAAATATTACACCAAATGGATTAGAAAACAAATATCAAACCAATGTATTAGCTATAAACTACATTCAAATTTCTCAAATACTACTTTGTAGTTCAGTTAAATTTTCTTAAAAAGTGAGGTGGTTTGGTGGGGTTTTTTTCCTACTTTCTAGGGCAATAATGGTGAAATAGAGCTTCTGCGTTTCAGAAGAGCATCTAACACACACCTAGAAGACTAATTTAATTGCATAATAACTGAATTTGGGACGTACTTTCAAAATGAATGAATATAAAGCAACTTCTCCTTCCTCATTCTTGTTTTTTCCTTTACTGGCTTCTACATTCGAAATTTTCAGGCTTTCCAAGAAGATCACCAACAATATTGTGTATTTTCTACCTCGGAATGCTGACATTGACCAGGTGTGTTACTGAATAAGGACTTGGTAGTTACAGAAAGCTCAGCTGGCTTAAAACATAGGTATTATAAGCACAAATTTAAGACTTTTAAGTCTGTTCAGCTGAATGGTTTGTTTTGGGGTTAGTTTTTTTGGTTTAAGTTTGAACCTTATGTTAAGAAATTTCTGTGCTTGCAGTACTTCTGATATATTTAGAAGTGGGAGTAGTGGATTATTTCAATGATTTTGATACTGTTCCTTCATAAAGCAACAGACTGGAGATCCCTGTGGAAGTTTCAAAGCCAACAGATTTCTTGAGTGCCAGACAGATACATCATTCTAAAACAAAGGGGAAAAAAAGGAAGAAAAAAAAAAAATTTTAACCCGTACTTACTACCTGGTAAGTAGCTGAGGCCTAAACTAAAGTTCATGGCTTCCAGTTTATGAAGGAATTGCAGGAAATCACTGTACGGCCTGCAATCATTACTATCACTGATTAGTAGATCAGAGACAAATGTCATGCCACCAGAGGTGGTACTGACGTTGTCCACAGAAGTGTGTGGTTCCATATGGGCTGCTTGCACTGTAGTGATTAGCTAGTTAGATGCATCACTGACTTGATATTTATTCCACTGGTGTGGGGTTTTTTTGTATTAGAGATTTTTGTTAGAATTTTGTTTCAGTAATTAGATGACTGTAACAATTCCCCTGAGTGTCTCGTTTAGTTTCCTCTGTGGATTTTTCTATGTTAATTACGTCTTGTAGCTTTTTGCAAAGAAGGGAGCAGTGAGGTGTTCTCCTCACTGCAACAAGCTGCAGAACTTCCAGGATTATTTCCTGCTTTTCCAAAAGCTGTGTCTGACTTAGAGCAGGTCTCAAGCCACATGGTGGCTTACAGAATTGTTGGTGGCAAACAGCTGGCTTGAGAGACAGGCTGAAATCCACATGGCCTGAGTATTAGCACGCTATGAGCCCGCGCTATGCACAGCACCATTTGTACAGCAGGTGATGATTCAGCTGAGTTTTGCATTTCAGGCTGGTGAAGTGTCAAAGTGGCATATGAGTCTTTTGAACAGGGACCTTAATTTTAGGCAGTGTCTTTAGTTTCAACTTCTAACCACTTGCATTTTATCGAATATTTTATTCCCATGATGAAGAATGACCTTACCAGGTTTCTGCTCTGCTCTTGAGCACTTTTTACTGGATTTATAAATGGGTAAAGACATCTACATTTCAGTCACATTCCCACAAAAGCGTCTGAGTACTGTCCACAGGCTTGCACCTATTCCTACAGAAGAGCTTGGCACCTCTACGTGGTTGGGCTAGGTGCCTTGACACCTCTACAGCTTGGTCTAGTTGGCTCTGAATGTTGTTGATGTGCTTGAAGTGTTCTTTGATGTACATCCACGGATTTGTCTTTACACAAATGGCTGAAGAGTAACTGTTGTTGCTCAAAAACATGGCTTTGTGGTCACGGCTTAGTTGTTAAAAGCATGTGGCTGAAAGCATGGCTTCAGTTCAGTTATCCAGACTATGGGCTGGAAGAGAACTCAGTTCCTCATGCCTTTCTCTAGAGATTGTGCCAGTATGAGGAAAAAAACCCAAAACCCTAAAGGTTGATGATCTGAGAGGGGGGAGGAGAACGTGAATCCAGCCCACTGTTTAGGCAAATTAGTCTTAATCTTGTGTGGACAGAGGTGTCTCAAACATGACCGTCCCAAACATGGCCTTAGTGGATGCTCTGGTCCATAGGAGACTGGTTATGAGTTTGGCTGCCATCATCACTGGCTGTATTTAAGTATGAAGTTTCTGAATTTACTGCCACTACACTTCCAGGGCTGTGAATCTCCAGAAAAAAAAAAATAAAAAAAAAATATATATATCACTGAAGTTCCTTAATAGTTAGTGTAGACAGTTGTCTTCTCAATCTGCTTATGGTTTTGCCTGTAGTTCTCATCCATCTTACTTTTCTCGTGGACCAGATAGGGTGGCTTCTGCTGCAGCAACTGTCTTGGCAAGGGCCTGTGGACACCACTGCTAGGGTGTAGTGATGTAGTTTGGGTTGTAAATGTAGTCTGTAAACTCTAGGGGCCTATAAAAGCCCAATGAAGTAAATCTTAAACTTTTTTTTTTTGCAGGAGATTAATACCTGAAAACTGACTAACTTGGATAAGGCAGATTATCAGATGCCTTAGATTTCAATGGAAACTTAAACACACAAGTTTGATTTGTGATGACATTGCTCAGGCATGTAAGATGTGCACCTTCTGTGTTCTCAAAATTTAACTCTGTTCTCATACGCATATGTAAGGATTTCAGAGATCACTTAGCTCTGAGAACAGGTGATCTAACATGCTTAACATGTAAGGTGGCAGTTGTTAAGTACTCTGCCTCTTGTCTCTTGTTGTCTGGCTTGAATCTACAACTGAGGAGTGCTTGTGTGCTTTGTCAATTAAAATTCATTTAGAAGCGGACTTAATTGCCATTGCAAACCTCCGTGAAGATGTTTGTGCTGACTGTGAGCCAGTGTATCAGTGCAAGTTTGCTTGTCTGACAGTGGGTCTGAAGCAGAAATGGAAATAAATGCCCAGCAGTTAGAAGCAACCTTACAAGAAAAATACTGTTTAACCTTTAGTTAAGGTGGTGCAAATTTAGTGGAAAATATGTGCTGCTTTTTTACAGTTAGGTAGCTAACATAGAGTAGGGATCGTGCTGCTGGTTTGGAAGCAGTGGTAGCTGACTTTGACCTAGCTGCGCTGGACTCTGTGTTCATTGCCTTATCAGCAGGCAAGACATCCAGCCTTGTTCCACATGATCTTATTGCAAAAACAGTGTTAGTTATGTCTGCAGGCACGGCCTTCTCTGTGTAGAGTTAGTGTTGTAGAGAGAGATGAGGTTCTTTGAATTCCCTTATAAAATTCACTGAGTTTAGATGAAAGAGGAGAAATGAACTTCTGTACTTCTGCCTCGAGAGGGAGCAGCGAACCAGTGGAATATGGTTGGTGCATTTACAAGAAATGTGAAACATTTCCTTTAATTGCATCAAATCTCCTTGTTTACAAGTGTGTACTTGTTACAAAATATATAGTGTATACAGGTCCATTTTTAGGTGGAATCAATCTTTCAAAATATTCTTTCTAGGTAAGGAATAATCAGGAATTATGTGTGCGCACATACATAAAAAAATATTTTATTAATAGTGCCTACTACGTAGCTCGTGTGACGCCCTTGTTGATACCTCTTTGCAGCATCTTTACCTCTGAGTGTTTTCTTTAAGGATTTTTTTTCCCATCCCTTAAGAAAAGGAAAAAAAAAAAAAGGAAGGTATAGAAACTACAGGTCAGAAATATATTAATATTGCTTCAGTTCTTGAGGGCTGAACTTGTATTTGGCTACCAGTGGTGTTTTTGAAAAGCAAAACAAAAAGTTTGACCTACTTAGAATTCCTGAAAAGTAGAGAGAATTAGAAATCACTGTTTTGAATAGTCTTGCATATTTAAATCAAAATTATAGCCCAGCAAAATGAAGTGAAAGCACTTGATAAATACTTGGATAGTTGAAAACTCTTCTTGCCTTCTGTGAAAAGCATGCCTTGGCAAAATTTGGATGAAAATAAATTTCTTCCCCTTGTTCTGCTGTCAATTTGACTCTGGTGGCAGCAGGGGACCTGCAGTCAGGGAATGCTCAACCTTCCCCAGCATCCTTCCCCTTCTAGGCCGGTTCCACCAGCTCAAGGGGAAGACAGATGATATCTGTAGGGGATCCTACATTTAGGTCTTAATACTCAAGCAAAACATAATAGAGACCTTCACAAGTAACTTGAGAAGCAAGCTTCTTGAGACAGAATGATCACATGTTGTTTATGAAGTGTTTAGCAAGCTGTGCTCTGCCTCATTGTGCAGAGTGGGAAGTGTGTACTCACCTCAGGGACCAGAACTCATCCCAACTAGCCAGATCTGTTGCCTGGACTGTTTTCTGCACCAGAAAATACTTCTGTGTCTTAATATTTGCAGCAAAAGAGAAAGAACCTGGGATTTGTTGCTGTAGGGCTTTCTTCCTAATGGTGGAATAGCTTCTTTTCACCTTGTTGCAGAAGGCATACTCAGCTACGTAAGACAGAAAACCTACCCTCCTAAGCGTTCACATACGTAGTGATGCTCCTTACTCTTTGTGTAAGCTGTGTGAGCGCTGCCGTTGAGGTATTGTTCTCTCACTGGTGGTCGGAATGGAGTCAGGCTGCGTGGTGGCTCCCCTCAATAAACTGATGAGCCTGAAACATTGGTGACCTGGTATGTTGTAAGGCAGATGATCACATCAGCATCTTTACCAGCCTAGTCAGGTTTGAGAGATGGAGTACTGAGGAATCAGGAGTTTATTACTTATCCTGACTGTGGATGGTTAACTGCCAGATGCTGTGTTGTGCCTTAGTGATTATCCTAAACTTCTTGACCGTTCTTTGAAGACAGTCGTACTGTACAAATTTACAAATGGTGGTTTAATTCAGAAACAGGTATTTTCTCTTTTAGCAAAAAGGCAATCTTACACGTTTATCTATTTACCATGGGATTATCTGTAAGTCTTTCTGATTTGTGGCTGCTGGAAATAATGTATATTTAACATCTTGAGCATACAGTAGTGCAAATTTTAATTTTGGGTGGCGTGTTAGTATATCTAAACAGCAGGATAATTGAGGCCAATTTTCATATAACATTTCAATCTTTGACCCTTATAGCAGAGCAAGCAAATCTGTTAGAATAATATTGGTCTACTCTTCAGACAGAATACGAGTCACTTTGCTAATTGAAGATGATTCTGAGAGTAAAATGCCTGATTATTCAACTTGAGAGCTATCTTTTTGAGTTAGAAAAGTTTTGGTCTATCTAAGATCCAGCCTGTGACAAAAGAAAAAAAATGCAATTTGAGAAAGATTTGCCCGTGTCCAGAAGCCTTTTCTCTGCGTAGGTGAGTTGAAGCTTAAATATAGATCCCTAGAAGGGATATGGTACTGTGGCTCTGCTCAGAGGG